CCAGCCAGATGTGACCCTCAGGTGCAGGGTTCCAGCTGTGGTAGGGGAGCTGGCTAAGAAAACAGGGGGCAGGGTCTCAAGGATTCTGCTGCTCAATGAAGCAGAAAGAACCATCACGCAGGGTCAAAGGGTTGACTACATATTTCTTCACTCCTCTAGATCTTGGTTTCAAGGTTGTCACAAACGATTCCTCAAATGTGAAAGGGGTTTACGGCCATTCATTCATGAGGACTCCAGGGTAATTCTCTGACAGGTCCAGGAGACAAGAGATGGAGCTGTGGAAATCACCTCCTGCACCCCCAACCCCCACCTGGATTCACACCATGGCCAGTCTCTGATGGCGTGATCGTTATTCCTGTTATTCTTGTTCTTGTTCTTATTTTTAAGGAATAAGAATTTGTTTTCTGCTTTCTTGCTGTGAAATAACAGCTCCTTGCATTGTATTTCTTAAGCACAAAATTAAATGGATGGAGGGTTTGCAACAAAGAATTTTCTTTTTTTTGTAAATTACATGTTTAGGAAATCTGTAGGTAGGCTAAGAGGATAACAAATTCTGAGGGTAATTCACAGGAAGGCATGATCCTTAAATTGACCACAGCTGAACCTCTACAGGACTCATTTTATAAACAGAATAAATCTCAGATAATACAATGAACGGCTCAGAACTATCTGTCAGGATGCTTGATGGAGACATGCAACCTCCTGGCTCTAATTACAACTGGGGAAGCAGGTACCAACAGGATTTACAGAGAGCAAGACACCTCCCATGTACCAATAGGAGCTGTTTCTTTTCTCTCCAGTCCAGAATGGAAATAAATCCGACATCATTCTGCTTCTTTTTAACGTCAGTAAATTCTCAAGTGCTGCCCATAAGGCCCCAAACATCATCACAGGCTCAATTAAAGTCCAAAAGGAGAGTTTTTGAATGGGTCAACCCACCATAAAATTTCTTCATTACTTTTATTTGGGTTCCCACAGAAACAAATTATTTGGGGGCAGACCCGCAGAGACTAGGACTCCAGGATAGAAAGTTTACTTGGGACACAAAGAAAACACCAGAAGGGGAGTAGGAATGATGGGGTGGGGGGAAGGGGGAGGGAAGAGAAGGTGGCCAAGAAGAGTTAAGGAGCAAGGCACCAGAGGGGCGACTGGAGCTCACCCTTGTGGAGACTCCGGGAAACAGTACAATGTTCACACCAAAGCACGTTCCCATGTTAGTGTTCTGGGCTGAATTATATCCCCGAAGAAATGTTGAAGTCCAAACTCTCAGGACCTGAGACTGTGATCTTATCTGGGAATAGCATCATTGCAGATGGAATTAATTACATGGAGATGTGGTCCCATGAGAACAAAGCGGGCCATTCATCCAATAGAGCAGGTGTCATTTCAAGAAGACGATGGGAAGACACTGGGAAGAACGCCTTGTGCAGATGGCGCAGAGATGGGAGTGACACAGCTGAACACCAAGGACTGCCAGCAACCAAGGTTTCTAGTTAGAGTCTCAGAGAGAGCATGGTCCTCATGACAGCACCTTGATCTTGAACTTCTGGCCTCCAGAACTGTGAAAGAATACATTTCTGCTGTTCTGAGGCCCCCAGCGCACTGCATTTTGTTGGGGAAGCTCCTCGGACACTCTCTAAGGGTCTGGGCTCCTGATCCACCGCCATCTGTCAGCGGTCAAGGACCGCTCTACCAATGGCTGAGGAAAGCCAGGCCCACAGTTCTTCTGGACTTTCAGACACAGACAGAGCAGCCTTTCTAGGCTCCAGCAGAGTCCTCAGTGTAGAGACACCCACACGGCCGCTGGGAGCACACGGACACAGTCTGAGAGGTCAGAGCTGGGCTCTACCTCCGGGCTGCCTACAAGATAGAGTCCACCTCTCCAGACGGCTCACAGAACAAGAGTGATTTGAGGTCTCAGCAGGACTCAGTGAGCTTGTTGGTTTGAAGACCGTGGGGGGCAACTGCCTCTGGAAGCCACACTGTGTGGGGCCCCCTACTGACAGCCAGCAGGGAAAAGGAAAACAAGATTCTGCCAACAACCCAAGGAGCTTGGATATAGATTTTTTCCCCCGAGCCTCCAGAGACATGCCAGCTAGCCAACACCTTGACACTGGCTTCTTGAGGACTTTTCAGGCCTCCAAGTGTTGGTGAGGTTTGCCATGCAGCACAGCTCACTGAAACAAGCCCTTATGCCCTTGTTCACACAGGAACACTTGCCCAGATTAAGTGTGTTGCATGCACTGTCTCTAGCTTCACCACAACCTTGAAGTCAGTCCTGCAGACTTATCCCATTTCACAGATAAGGAAACTGAGTTTCACAGAGGTTGAGCAGCTCATATATATCTACCACTAATGTTCCTGTTATCTCTACTCTTGCCTTTTAATGATAAAACAACAGTTGAGTGTCTGAGTTTTTAAGGTCATTTCCCAAAGATTTCGGCCCAGACACTGACAAGAGCTGGGCTTCCTGCCCTCTTAGGAAGGCACGCGTCACTGCTGCAAGGCTTCCATATGTATGTGCCCAGAGGCCTGCTGACTGCTCCAGGAAAGCAGCGGGGAGCAGAGGCCCTCTAGGGCAGCAAGGGCCCACCTACACTCACCATATGTCAAGTGGGGACAGGTCAGCATTTGTCTAAGAGGTAAGCATTCTCAAAGTTGTCACCTGGGAGCATATGGCCCTTGGGATAGAAGAAAATGCCCCACTAACATGCCAGGTGTTCAATACCATTTGCCAAAAAATATATGTTATTTATGACAGCTTTTTAATTTCTGGAGGAAAGTAGAGAGAGAGTTTTTCCTGAAGCAACTTCCTAGAACCACTCAGTTATACTCAATAAGCTGCAGCTACTATATACAGAGAAAATGTATAGCCAAACAACAGGGAGATTGTGCCATGCTCTTAAAAATATGGCCCCAGATTATCATCTAGTCTATTAAATATCATTCATAGGACCAAACTGAGAAATAAGCAAGAGATCAGAACAATCACTTCACAAAAGCAGAAATCCAAGTGTCCAATAGACATATGAAAAGACATTCAACTTCATTAGGGCGTCAGAGAAATGTAAACTAAAACTCCAAAGAGATGCACGCCATTGACAATCCACCAAAATGGCTAAAATGAGAAAGACATTTTACGTTGATGTTGTAACTCAATTGCTGACATGTATGGGGCCTGACTGGAAATGTCAAATATTGCTGATGGAAGGAGTATAAATTGGTCTTTTAGGATAGTCTTGAGCAGCATGTACCCAATTTGAATGTACTTTTACTATAGTGAAGTGAAGTCGCTCAGCCGTGTCCGACTCTTTGCAACCCCAAGGACTGTAGTCCACCAGACTCCTCCGTCCATGGGATTATGCAGGCAAGAATACTGGAGTGGGTTGCCATTTCCTTCTCCAGGGGATCTTCCCGACCCAGGGATTGAACCCGGGTCTCCCTCTTTGTAGACAGACGCTTTTACCATCTGAGCCACGAGGGAAGTCCAACTTTTACTATGTGACGTTAACAATTTCACTGTCTGGTATGCCCAGCAGAAATGTGTGCTCACAAACTGACACGCAAAAGAGTGTTCATATATACCTGGGTCATAATGTGGTGCTTGAAAACTAACCTACAACATAGGAGACCCAGTCAGTAGTACCAGGCTTCTCTCCCTCTGAGACACCTTCTCTGGGGTATCATCTACCCAGAGCCCCCAGTGTGAGTCTGGCCTGTAGGGATTAGAAGAGTGGCTCCATTTATTAGCTGTGTGGCTTCAGACACATCATTTAAGCATCAGTTTTCCTGTCTGAAATGGAGGTCATCGCGATGCTGATTTCATGAGAGCTCATCATGTTAACACAGACACAGCTAGAACAGTGCCCAGCACACAGGAAACGCTGCCTCAGTGGGACCCCTACCAAGCTCTCTCCATAGTTACACACCAGTATGCAGCCTTTCTGGGTGGCTCTAGTAGTAAAGAACCCACCTGCCAATGCAGGAGCCACAGGAGATGCAGGTTCAATCCCTGGGTCGGGAAGAGCCCCTGAAGGAGGAAATGGCAACTCACTCCAGTATTCTTGCCTGGAGAATCCCATGGACAGAGGAGCCTGGAGGGCTGTAGTCCATGGGGTCGCAAGGAGTCGGTCATGACTGAAGCGACTTAGCACACACATGTACATGCACTGGCATATTTCAGGTAGCCTCAGGACAATTCAGCTTGGGGTGAACTTCCTATAAGTGCTTCAGTCAATGGACAGGTAAGCATCAGTGATACTGCTAAAATTAATATTATTAGATTTTAAAGTTATGTACCTATATTACTCTGATTAAAAAAAAAACTAAATTAAAAAGAGGTTAATTTTTGGACTCACTGAGTCTTTAGTCTAAAAAGAACAACACAGCTGGTAGTATTTAAAATAAAATACAACAATGCATAAATTAAATGTGTTAATAGTTTACAAATAACCACCCAGGTCCACTGGATGCTTTGTGGGTTCCTCAGAAAACCATGGTCACAAGATGGTCCTCATTTGGCTAAAGCCTGCCAAAACGAAGATACAAGAAGGGAGCAACATGTTTTTCTTTAAGGACAAATGACATATTCAAAATTTAATTTATTTTGGCTCTCAGTAATACAATCTGACAGGATTGTTGGATGATTGCTTTCCCAGAGCAGCCCCTGAGTTCTTGGCCATTCTTAATAATCTGGGCTTTACTTGGCTCTCCTGTGAGATGGTAACCCCAGGCCTGCCCCGCTTGGGCTCACCCTCCCAGACCGCCTGAGGGAGGTGGGCCTGGTCCCTAGCCCCCTGGAAGCCTGTTGGCTCGGGGGCCGAGGCGTCACTGGTCCCTGAGGGCAGAGAGCAGCTGTGGAGAGCCAGCCTGTCACATCGCCTTCTGCTTCTCCACTGTGTCTGGGCAGCGTGAGAAGGAGCATCAGGAGAAAGCAGAGAAAACCTGCTTTTGCTTTTCTCATTCCTTGTGTTTTACTTGGTAGGAGAAAAGGAACTTACCTTCCACTGAAAGCAGTTGATTGAGCTGATAATGAGACTGAAGAAGGAGTGTACAAAATCTGCACAACACTGTCCGCTTGGGATGAGGGAGTCTTCACCAGAACGCTCTTGATGCTGCAAGACCAAGTGGCAAGACATTTAATGAATGAAACTTGGAGAGAAGCTAAAGATGTTAGTTATGTGAAAAAAAAAATCAGGAAAAAATGACAAAGTAGGGGAAAAAAAACAACACAAAGAGGAAAGTAAAGTCATCATGAGCCTGCATTGTTGGGAACCCCAAATGTCTACTCAACTCCCCCCCCACCCCAGCACCAGGGCACAGTCTCATGGGGCAAACTAATCACAGAATTCCCAACTCTTTTGCCAAAGGCCATTTGCCAGATAAACCGAATACATTTTTGTTTTTTAATTTCAGTTTTAGTGAGGCATAATTGACAAGCAAAATTGTAAGGCATTAATATTTAAAATATAAAATTGGTGCAGCCACTGTGGAGAACATTATGGAGGCGCCTTAAAAAACTAAATGTAGAGCTACAATATGATCCAGCAACCTCACTCCTGGGCATGCATCTGGACAAAACGCTAATTCAAAAAGATAGAGCTACCCCTATGTTTATAGCAGCACTTCTGGCAACAACCAGGACTTGGAGACAGCCTAAATGTGTAATGACAGATGAAGGGATAAAGAGGATGTGGTACATATATACAATGGAATATTACTCAGCTATAAAGAAGAATGAAATAATGCCATCTGCAGCAACATGAATAGACCTAGAGATTATCACACTAAGTGAAGCAAGTTAGAAACAAAAAAAAATAAATGCTGTATTACATCACCTATATGTGAAATCTAAGATGTGACACAAACGAACTCATCTACAAAACATAAACAGAATCAGTAACACAGAGAATAGACTAGCAGTTGCCAAGAGTGAGGGAGTTGGGACACGGGTGGAGTGGGGCTTTGGGGTTAGCAGATGTAAGCTATTGCATATAAGATGAATAAACAACAAGGTCCTACTGTACAGAAACTATACTCAATATCCTGTGATAAACCATAATGGAAAAGAATATTTTTAAAAAGACTATATATAAATATATATATACATATGACTGAAATGCTTTGCTATACAGCAGCAATTAACACAAAATTATCAGTTATATATTTCAACTTAAAAAACAATAAATGATATGTACAATGTGGTGATTTGCTGTAAGTATACACTGTGGAAGGATTTTTCCCACCTAGTTACACAACAATCAAATCATTTACCTTTTTGTTTTGGTAAGAATATTTAAGTTCTACTCTCTCCTTAAATTTAAATATTATAATAGAGTGTTATCAACTGTAGTCACCATGTTTACATTAGATCTCAGATTTGTTCATCTTACAGCTGAAAGTTTGTATTCTTACAAGATCTCCCTCTTTCATTCACCTCCTGCCAGCTCATGGCAACCATTTTTCTTCTCTGTTTCTATGAGTTTGCCTCTTTTTCCTGAGATTCCACATCTAAGTGATACCATGCAGCATTTGTCTTTCTCATTTGGCTTATTTCATTGAGCATGCTACTTGCTAGCTCCATACACATTGTTGCAAATGGCAGGATTTCATCCTTTCTCATGGCTGAATATTTTCCATTGTGTGTATATGTGTGTGTGTGTGTTTGTGCATATGTGGGTACCACATCTTCCTTATCCATTCTTCCACTGATGGACACTTAAGTTGTTCACATATCTTGGCTGTTGCCAGTAGATATTTATTTATCTTAGACAAAGGATTTGCTGTAGGGTTGTCCCCTCTGTGTAGTATTCAGCAATTTTGCTCAGTAATTATGCAGAAATGGTACTCTGCTGGCTACCATCTTGTGAGGGATCAGAAAACTAAGCTAGGAAAGCAAAGCAAAAAGAAAGGAGAACCCTCAATAAACCATGCTTGAGACCTGCCTCACCTCTGTGCTTTTTGTCCCCTCTGTGTAGTATTCAGCAATTCTGCTCAGTAATTATGCAGAAATGGTACTCTGCTGGCTACCATCTTGTGAGGGATCAGAAAACTAAGCTAGGAAAGCAAAGCAAAAAGAAAGGAGAACCCTCAATAAACCACGCTTGAGACCTGCCTCACCTCTGTGCTTTTTGGTAATGTAAGCCAATAAATCCCTTCTATTGTTAAAGCCGTTTGGCTCCCATGTTCTTATTTGCAACCAAAAGCTTCTAACTGACACACTACCTGAAGGGATTAATGCATGAAGAAGCCAAAGGGTGACGGAGCTTTGGGAACTGGGGCAGAGCCTTGAATGCATCTGAAAATAATCTCATTGAAACAGAGTCCAGAAGACGATTAAAGAAAAAATTCAGCGTGGGAAATGAGAAGTCATTTGCTTAATTAGAGTTTGGGGACAGTATTTGTACGGGGAACATTTCACCTCAATGAGACTGCAAAGAAGAAAATGACTCACTGTTCTCCAACTGGCAAAAGCTGAAATCCCTTGTCTAAGGGTTATTGTTCTCTGTGATAGCTCCATAATATTCTGCTAACTTGCGTACATATTTTTCAAAGGTGCATTTTTCTCTCGAAGCCTTAGAGGCATTGAATAAGGACATCCAGGAGATACAGAGGTGGCAGCTTAAGGAAAGAAACGAAGCGCATATTTTCATACACATTCTGGATTTGGCAGAATCTGATATTTGCAATATCACTTTAAATGTTAATGTTTGAACTACTAGATTAAAGAACACAACCCAAACTAGCTGCTAGATTCCATCCCGCAAAACTCCCCACTCCAGCCATCCCTCTGCAAACAGAAGTCAGATCAGTCCAGGGACTGGGTCTTCACACTTGGCCCTCCTCAGTCACACCTGTCCCTCACTTGGCATCTTTAGGGCCCCATTTGTTTGCACAGATTAGATTATTCTATGGTAAAAGGATTACCAACATGTGTATTAAAAGTTACACCCACACAGGTTGCTTTTAATTTGCCAGTCAATACTAAATAATTCAAGTGGGCCTTAGGAAGTACTGCTGTCAATAAAGCTAGTGGATGCTATGGAATTCCAGTAGAACTATTCAAAACCTTAAAGGATGATGCCATCAAGGTGTTGCATTCAACATGTCAGCAAATCTGGAAGACTCAGCAGTGGCCCCAGGACTGGAAAAGGTGATCCAAATTCCCATGAAGGGTAGTACTAAAGAATGTGCTAACCATCAGACAATTGCACTCATCTCCCATGCTAGTAAGGTCATGTTTAAAATGCTGCATGCTAGGCTTCAGCATTATGCGAATCAAGAACTTCCAGATGTCCAAGCTAAGAGGAACTAAAGAGCCTCTTGATGAGGGTGAAGGAAGAGAGTGAAAGAGCTGACTTAAAACTAAATAAAAAATCTAAGATCATGGCATCGGCCCCATTACTTCACGGCAAATAGAAGGGGAAAAGGTGAAAGTAGTGACAGCTCCTCTTCTTGGGATCAGAATCACTGCAGATGGTGACGGCAGCTGTGAAATCAGGAGAGATTGCTTCTTGGCAGGAAAGCGATGACAAACCTAGACAGTGTGTTGAAAAACAGAGATATTATTCTGCTGACAAAGGTCCATATAGTTAAGGCTACAGTCTTCCCAGTGGTCACGTACGGTGGTGAGAGCTGGATGGTAAAGAAGGCAGGGCGCCGAAGAATTGAAGAATTGATGCCTTCGAACTGTGGTGCTGGAGAAGGCTCTAAGAGTCTCTTGGACTGCAAGGAGATCAAACCAGTCAATCTTAAGGGAAATCAGCCCTGAACACTCATTGTAAGAACTGATGCTGAAGCTGAAGCTCCAGTATTTTGGTCATCTGATGCAAACAGCTGACTCATTGAAAAAGTCCCTGATGCTGGGAAAGATTGAGTGCAGAAGGAGAGGAGGGCATCAGAGAATGAGATGGTTGGATGGCATTACCAATGCAATGAACATGAACTTGGGGAAACTCTAGGAGATGGTGAGGGACAGGGAGGCCTAGAGTGCTGAAGTTCATGGGGTCACAAGGTTCATGGGGTCACAAAGTTGGACATGACTGGTCAACTGAACAACAACAACTGAATTATCTATTTCTTCTTATTCAGATTTCCTGAATCAATGACCACGTAAAAAATACAGCTCTTAGGTTCACCTCAACCCATGTGTTCAGAACTCACTGAAGAGTCTTTATGGAAAACAAAGAGCAAATTGTCGAGAACAGACCAGACAGGGAATTGTAACATGTGACAGGTCAAACACTGAAAGAATGATGGCATTTCTTTAGATGAAAATGCGCATTTATTTCTCATTTTAGATTTCAGTTACTGCAGTGCATCTTATAACTGGCCAAGCTATGGTGATGACAGAGATCTGACTGCCTGCCTGACCACAGCGTGGACACTTCGTCAAGTTATGTGAATTGATGGTCCTTCATGTGTTCGGTTTAAATGCCATTTGAGACGTCTTCCTGGCTGTGTCAGTTAGCTAGGGCTGCCATCACAAAAGAATAGGTATTTATTTCCCACAGTTCTGGAGGCTGGAAGTCCAAGGTCAAGGTGCCAGCAGGGGTGGTTCTGCACCACGTCCCCCTTCTGCAGACAGCTCTGCCTGCGTCCTCACAAGGCTTTTTCCTGCGTACCTGCTCCCCTATCTCTCTTGTCATCTAAACAGGTTTGTTTTGCCTTAATCACCTCTTTAAACGTCTTATCTCCAAACAGAACTACATTCTGAACTACTTCAACATGCACGTTTTGGGGGCATGCAATTCAGCTTGTCAAACTGTTTGTTGTCTGAAACCTTTCAGTGGACATCTTTTGGTAAGATTACAAGAGCGCCAGCATCAAAGCTTGCGGAATGTGTATCTTATGGGAAAGAAAAATCCAAGAGACAAAAGCAAAGTGCTCTTTCAGAAATACTGCTTCACAATACTTTGATGGCGCAGAGGGTAATAATCTGTGGAAAATGCAAAGATGTTAAAGCTTTGTGCTGTAGTTTGTCAGATTTTCTTGCTAAGGGGTAGATAGTGAGCTGTCTTCTAATCAATGGTATCTGTTCAGTTAACTGATCTATTCTTCTCAGCATCAAACCCACCCTTCAGCACTTTGGGATGCTTGAACTAGCTGCGG